AAGCTTAAATTATCAACTGTGACACCTTTTAAATTGTAAAACACCCACACCTTTCAAACTATTAATTACCTTTCAAATTTTTAAGTATCCAACTTAAAACCAATTAGCAGTAAGTAGAAGAGCCTAACTTGAATATAAGACTACAATAAATTGAATATTTATTAGATGTGAGATTATATCACTTTAACATGCCTCCATCATGTGTAGGTGGAGATGAAAAAAATCTATCACATGATAGATTTGGAAAAGGTAACAAAAAGAAATTTTAGCTCTGATATCATGTTAAGCATCCAACTTAAAATTAATTGACAGTAAGTGGAGGAACCTAACTTGAAAATAATTCTATAGGAAATTGAATATTTATTAGATATGAAATTACATCACTTTAACAAAGTAAACTTTGATAATATAACTATTACCAAGTTTACAAGTAAACTAGCTTGAACTTTATGCTTGTAAGTTGCCAAGCTAATTTGACAACCCAAGTCCTAAGCAAAAAAGATGTCCATAGGCTTGTAAGCTTAGGCTTTACTAAATTCATTAACAAGTAAACATGAACTTAATTTGATTTAATAATTTATAAAGCTTGAAAGTTCTTTCCAAGCTATGCTAAAAATTAACCAAATCATATAACTTAGACAAAAATAATAAAATCATATAACTCAAACAAAGATGCTAAAGAGGCATAGTCAAACCTTACATTGGAAGCTTAAATTGACCAAAGCATCATAAATAAAGAAGCACCTCATATGTCTATAAAAATTTTGTCATGACACCAGATGCAAGTTTCCAATAATAGCAAGCAAAAATATCCACCGCGAAAATGAAAAAAAACCTTTAGTCTTGCTCAATACCTTTACACAAAGCAATTGAGAAAAGCCCGACCATGAATCTTATGAGATTTCATAAGAAATTTGCTAATATCTTACAAGTTGAATTCACAGTTTGAGAAAAAGATAAGCTTGAGAATTTCAAGCTTTAAACATTATGCCTTTAGTTAAGTGTTAAGCATACTAACTCAACAATTTTACACTAATGTTTCTTTCTTATCTTTGCCTAGTATATATACAAGTTTTGAAAAAATAAAGGTTATTAAAACAGGATGTAGACACTTTATTTGGTCAGGGCTATTGGGCCCAAACCAATTGGGGTTAAGCTCAATTATTTATTTTATTTTTATTTATTTATTTACTTATTTTCATTTTTGGTTTTATCTTTTTGTATAATTGTTTACTATTTATTTGTTATTAGTTTATCAGTAGTAATAAAAGATAATTCTTTGAAAATTAAAAAATATATAATAATAAAAAGAAAAGTTTTGCTATGAATCAATGTCTAAAGAATAGGTGTTATCAGAATTAGAATAATTTTAATTTGTAAAAGATAAATTTTATTTTTTTTATGATAACACAAATTGCTGAGTCATGGTTAATCAGGAACTCTTCTAGTTGTTTCCTATATATAAACATACGAATCAATAGAGAATAACAAGTTTTGAAGAGTTAAAAAAAAATACAAAAGCAGTAAGTGAGCAAATAGGAGATTTTTGGAAGGAAAACAAAGTTGTGTCAGAGATTTTTTGGAGGTTTTCGTGCAATTGTGAGTTTGATTAGGTTGAAAGGTGGTTTGGGAGGATTTTAAGGATTGAAAGGTTAAATTCAACCTTTTTTAATTTTTAGAAATTTTGGGAAATTTTGCAAATTTTCAGAATCCGATTAAATTTTTTGGCAAGGTTTGAATTTTTCGACAAAATTACTGACAATATTTTCAGTTTTTGACAAGCAACCCCAGATTTCGATGGGATTTTCTAGATCCCAACGAACTTCCGATGATATTTCTAGATTCTGGCTTAAGTTTCTAAAACTCGATGAAGGTGTTTAATCAGTATTCAAACAGTTTTAGAAAGAGAGGGAGAGAAAAAGCTGAAAAGAGAGAAAGGGCTAGAAAAATCTGAAGGAGGAAAAAGAATTTTGGCCTTATATATTAACGGTAAACGACACTGTTTTGAGTTTTAAAACCTTCAAGATTCGCATGTTGCCCCAATACTCGACCCAATTTATAGCAATTTGACCCCAAGACCCATCCATTTTAGTTGCTATGAAGCCAAATCACCAAGCCATAGAGCCATACCCAGAGCCTTCCTCTATTTCTACAGTTGAGCCGAGCCACGTGCTATAGTTCCAACTGAACCATTTCCTTATTTTGGTATTTGATTTTATTTTTTTGTGTATTTTACTTAATTTTTATGCTATTATTTTATTTATTTATTTTTAAAGTATTCTACATGATTAATTTTTAAAAAAATTATAAAATAAAATAAAATAAAACATTAACAAATTTTTTAGAATAAATAATAATTATCTAATGATGAAATTTTTTTTGAAATTACAAAAAGCTAGTTTCTACAAATTTGACCCAAATTGAATAAAATTTAGATAACGTTTCAATAATAATAATTAATATTTATTTTTAATTTAAAAATATTAAAAATTAAAATTTAATAAAAATTTGAAATTGAATTAACAATTATCTAAAGATGAGATTCTTAAAAATTTCACATGGTAAATTTTTTAAGAAATCTTTGGATGAGAAATTTCTCTAATTTTACCTAAATTGTGAAATAATTTAGACAAAATTTCAATAAAAATAATTGTATTCTTTTCCAAATAAAAAATAAAAAAATAAAAATTGGATGAAAATATTTGATAGTTGTCTAATAATGAAATCTTAAGGAAAAATCACAAATGGTTAAATTTCATAAGATTTCTAGTTAAATTTTTTTTTAACTCAATGCAAATGTCGGAAGGATTTAAATGAGTTTTCAAAAAAAATTGTCATATTATTTTCTTTCCAAAGATTAAGAAATTAATAAGAGTTTAGATTCTAAATAAATCTCAATGGTGAAAAATTTAGAAATAAACTTGTAGAAATTTTTTTTAAATAGACCTAAATAGTAAAAAATTTAGAAATAAAACTTGTAAAATAAAAATAAAATTTCGATGATAAAATTATTAGTAATTGTAAATAGATGATTATCTAATATCTTTCTAGATAAGACAATATTTTTAATTAAGTCAAAATGGTGAAAGAATTAGATATATTTTCGATAAACAAAAATAATTAAGTTTTTCTAACGACGAAGCTTCTTCAAGAAAGCAAATGAAATTTTGAATATTCTTAAAATGAAAAAATATTTTTAAGAATTATGTCAGTTGATGAAACCATTAAAATCAAGACTTTATGATGATTTAAAATTAAATGGTACCATCTAAGATGGATGATGTGGGCTTACTATAACATTTTTTACATGTAACCGAATTTCTGAACTTAGTTCTAAAATACAAATCAAAATCTATTCTTTTAAGGATCTTTAGTTAAGTTTAAGATATCATTAAGATGATAAATTCATTAAGTGACCAATCACACTTAGATAAAAAATTAACGATAACTCCTTAGATTGTGTTTAACTATAGATTTTCATATCTATACATTATGACACCGAACATCTAACACTTACATTCCATTATGTGTTTTCAAGTTTTTCTTAGTTTCCTTGGTTTTCTTAGCTTTACTTAACTTTTTAAACCCTAAGGACCAAAGTGATATTAAGTTTGTTGTGTTCCTGTTACCCCTTATATGAATTTGTCACGTGATAGGTCCCTGATTTTGTTATTAGTAGTATTAGATCCATGCGTGAGAGAAGTGTTGAATAATGTTATCTCAGTAACTCTATTGATGATGATAGCCTCACTTCTTATTGGAACTGTTTCTTTTTTTTTTATTATTTTTGGTAGCGTATTGGAACCGTTTCTCTGTGGCATAATTAAGAAGTTATCTTCAGCATAACTCCAAATGTTCCATGACCTAGTAGAAATTTTAACTTTTTATTTTTGGATTATCATTTTCTATCCCAGTCTTCTTTTTCACTTGAAATTTGTTTTTGTATGCACAAGAAGCAATTAAGCTCCATGTCAGTCAGGGACTTCATCCGACAAGTATTGCATATAATGAATTATAGTACATTTTATTTCCTATAAAAGAAAAAATTATTTGGTGTTTCCACAACAAGAAAGAAACTTTATGAAAGGTTTAATACTCTTATCCTGATCATTTTCCTAAATGATCAACATATCACCACCACATATTTTCCATCTGCTTTACTGTCTTCAGGGGCGGATGGTAAGCATAGCCAAGGGGGTCCTTGATTTTGAAAATTTCCCTTTTACTCATGTATATAGATATGTATATTTACATTAAATAATTTTACATTGAAGCTTTTTTTTTAATTTGGACTTTTAAATTAAAAGGATAAAATTGAATTTATATCTATCTATTTATTTTAACTACAAATCACTATTAATAAACACTTAAAATTAATTGATTGTTGTTACAAATATTAAGTCATAATTCATGTAAATTTAAAAAATTCAGTTTAATTTTTTAAATTCTAACCTACATTGAGCAAAATAAATTAAATTTAAAATTTCAATTGAAACATTTTGAGTGTGACATTATTATGTGAAATATTAAAATTTATCCTCTTTATCATAATTGTGCCGTCTTTTGATAAAAATAAAAAATAAAAAATACATTATCTCATTAAAAGATTGATCATATTTATTTTAATTATTTTCGCAAACTACAATAACTAATCAGTTAAACAATATTTTCAGTTATAAAAATCATCAGAATTAGATTATGAAATAAAATTTTAAAAAATGAGTTTTTTATGAATAATTTGATTGTCAACAAAACAAAAAAATTCAAATTCAATTGTTAAAGATTTTATTTTTTAAAAAAGAACATTGTTTACAATTTGACATAAAATTATTTATTTGCAATATTTTATTTTGAATTAATAAAATTGAAGATTTTATAAGTTTGTTATTTTTTTAATATATTATTACATATATGTTTATGTTAATAAAATATATAAAAGTAGAGCTCAAATGAAAAAAATATATACAATTTTGAACTTTTAACTGCCCCCCCCCCCCCCCTCTTCAAAATCAGTAACCACGATCCGCCACCTCTGTTCTTACATCAGCCTACGAGAGGAAGCTAGAGGATCTTTCTAAAAGATAAATGGTCAAAACCACACCTCGAAATTCTTGAAATGGGAATTTTCATAAAACCCGTCTCAATTTTCACGGCAAAAGCAAGAAGTGCAAAAGACTGCATTTCAACCCAAAGTTCAGAGGAACTACGAATCCGTGTAGTGAATAGGACCCCCTGCATGTGTCTTACTAGAAAAATCGATAGACATTATCTGATATTAAGAATAACTGAACAATAGTAAAATATTTAATATAATACTTAAACTTTAAAAATCTTTAATGTGGTACTTGAACTATAAATCTATTAATTGATGTAGTACTTGAAAAGTTATTTTTCCATCACGTTTCATCATTTGAAGCAAACAACATTAGAGATGAGTACCACATTCGTTAACGTATTCATAGTTTAAGTATCACATTAAATATATTTATAAGTATCACATTAAATATTTTATTATAATTTAGAGGCTATTCGTAACATGAACCCTTGAAACTTTTACATTATTGATTGACAAGGAAGACGAGCTAGCTAAGTGGTGAAATTGAAAAAAGAAAGAAGATAAACTCTACCTCAGTTCTTGTGCTGCAATCTCCCTTTTTCAGCTCCAGCAAAAGGATCAATTATCACATTTATTACAGCTGGCTTCCTTGCAAAAAAAGAGTCAGAAAGAGCAGACTTCAATTCATCAGGAGTCCCAACAAGGTAACCCTTTCCCCCAAAAGCTTCCATTAAAGTGTGATAAGCAGCACCAGGAACAAAGGAAGTGGGGGCAGGATCATCTTCGAAAGGGCCAGCAACTTCTTCAGGGCTCCTCCGGTCTCCACCATATATACCACCATTGTTAAAGACTATAACAACCACAGGTAACATGTATCGAACCAATGTCTGCATAATTAGAAAAAAGGCAAAAGCCAAACACCATATTGAAAAGATACACAGAACACTTCACTGTAAGGAGAGGGAATTTGTAAGTCAAAACAACCAGCAAGAGCATTTATAATTTCGAGATTTATTAAAGTACAAAGAAGTCTTGAGGTATAAAAGAAAGAAAACATAAAAGAAAAGGAAGAACAGCGCGAAATATGACATTGAACACAAAAACAAAAGAGAAGCGCCCTTCATTAAGTAGTTATCAAACACCCAATTTTCAGCTATTAACTTTGCTACCAATCCATCAAGATACTTATCAGTGCAAATATACTAAATACATCTGAGCGTGTACATGAGAGAGAGAAACAGAAAATACTTTACTCTTAATCATGGAACTGTGACACAATCAACTTATGGTTTCAAAATCCTGAATTAAAAGACCTGATTCCATTCAACATAGACAAACTCTTGTTCAAAATGTTTTCGCCTTTTCTTTTTCTACTGGTAAGTACTAGCCTATTTGAAAATGCCAATGCCCATAAGGAGCAAAATAATTACTGTTATCTGACTGATTATGAAGTTACAATATTAAGTTGCTAATCCAAAAGTTCTTTTACAATTTATCTAACTTGATCACGAAGTGCAAGGAAATAGAACACAACTAAAAAAGTAAATTTCGCAGCCAAGAGGATTATATATTAATAAAACATCATCCTAAATCGTCAATACAAGCATTCACATTATATTTCTTCATAAGTAAGAGCATTCAAAAACATATTATGCTTATGAATAAATACAAAAAAATATAATTATGCAAGCGACGCATTTAACATTAGAACACATACCTCAACTTCCATTGCACTGAACCCAAATGCAGAGTCCCCTTCGACTGCAACTACAAGCCGCTTAGGATTAGCCACAGCAGCTGCAATGCAATAGCCTAAACCAACTCCCATTGTCCCCCAAGTCCCTGCATCCAACCTAGTCCTAGGCTCAGTCTGAACCAGCACAGACCTTCCAACATCCATAGTATTCGCCCCTTCAGAAACCACCACCGGAGCAGGACTACCCAACCCCAAAATAGCATCTCTTATAATCCTCATAGGAGTCAAAAAATTGAAAGGCACAACATCTTTCGCCAACTGAGCCTCCATCCTGGACACATTATCCTTCACCTTCTTTGAAACAGCCTCAACCCAAGGATGAGACTTTCCCAAACAAAAAGGGTCATCTTTAATCTCCTTATTAATCATCTCCAACACCTTCTTAGCATCCCCAACCAAACCCAAATGTGGTTTCCTCAACTTAATCTCTTCTCCACAAACATCCACCAAAATGAATTTCACATCTTTATCCCACTTAGGACTCTCCCCAAAATGCAATAACCAATTAAGCCTTGCCCCAACAACCAATGCAACATCACATTTCCCAATAGCAAGTGACCTTGCAGCACTCGCAGCCAACTCATGATCATCATTCACCAATCCTTTCCCCATTGGCGTTGGCAAAAAGGGTATTCCCGTCTTTTCAACCAACTTCCTCAATTCTCCTTCAGCTCTCCCATAACCTGCGCCTTTCCCAAACACAATCAACGGCCTCTCCGCCTTCCTTAACAAAGCAACCGCCTTTTCGATCTCTGTATTGGCCGGAACTATAGATTCTTCAAAAATTCGTGCTTTCTCAGCTTCAGCCAACAAATTTTCAGCTTCAGATTCAGTTATTGTTTGATGTAAAACATCAGTTGGTAAATCCAAATAACACCCACCGGGTCGACCCGAAACCGCATGATCCAAAACCCTAGCAACACAATTGGGAATTTCTTTAATATCTTTTGCTTTAACTGAGAATTTCGAAAAGGGTTTCACAGCTTCGATCTGATCAAGCTCCTGGAAATCTCCACGGCCGGAATCCTTTTGGTCGGAGGAGCCCGAGACCATGACCATGGGCCAGGTGTTGATCATAGCATTGGACAAACCCGCCAGCCCATGGACACAACCCGGCCCAGAAACGGTCAAGAGAAGACCGGGACAGCCCGTGAGGTAGCCATAAACGGAAGCCGCGTAACCGGCAGATTGTTCGTTATGGAAAGCGATGAAACGGACACCAAATTGGACGGCACGGTTGGCGAGGGACGTAACGGGGATGCCTACGACGCCGAACATGTGGGTAACGCCGAAACGTGCAAGGGATTTGGCTGCTAAAACGTTGCCGTCAAAGGAGACGGCCATTTTTTCGACAAAATTCTAGTTACCGAGAATTGTTGCGGTGCCTAGCGGCTAGTGCCTAGTGGCTATTTGAAGGTTTACAAGAAATTTTTATTAAAAAAAATGGTGAGAAGGGATGAAGAAGCCATTCGAGCATGGACGGATTCAGGATTTATTTGGCCAATTAAAATAAATAATATTAAATATATAAATTTAAATTAATTTAAATACATAAAAATAATACATTATAATTATTTTTAATGAGTTTTTCAATGTGAAAATAAATATTTTAAACATTATCTCTTTCATCGGAAAAATAATTTAAAATTTTTTTTATAAATTTGGATCCAATAAAAATCATTTAGATCTAATTAAACATAAACTTATTTTGTAAAATGTTATGTCTCATTATTATTTATTTAATATAATTCTTTCAAAATTGACTTTCATTTAATAAGATATTTTTCATTACTAATTAAATTAGATAATTTACTTTATATAATTTCTAAAAAATAAAAAGATAATGTTGTAGTTTATATTAAATATTGAAATATAATTATGCAAACAAAATCAACATGCATATTTTATTATGCATTTTGAATTTTAATTAAATTATATAATTTTATAAAAATTAAATTATTTCATTGATCAACTTAAAAAATTATAACATTTTTCGATCTTAATTTACTTATAATATAAATATAAATATAAATTATTCCTAAATTAAGCTCTAAATCAAATTATTTTATCAATATAAAAAAATTTAAATAATAAACAAATATTTTATCACGTAAACAAATGATAGTAAATACAAAGAAAAAATCTGAAAAAAAAAGTAATTACTTACTTAAATATATTGATGGAAGAAAAAAAATGTTTTCTCCTTAATTTGTTTCTTTGGTTTATTGGCTCTGCTTTATCTTTTTGTTATTTCTCTACTTTTATTCTCTATCAGCTATAAAATTTTTATGAGTTTAGATGAAGGGAAATATTATAGGCGGAAAAGAAAATAGATCACCTTTTATTTTACTTTTATCTTTTTTTTTAAATGAAATGATGGTCTTTGAATATAAAATTATTTATAAATATTTATTTTTATTTATATTTATACATATAACTTGATTATTTTTGTAAAATAAGTCATTTATATTATAATTGTAGTTTTGTTCTTTCAAACATTTATAAACATTTATAAAAGTGTCGTATATATTTTTTATTTTTAGTAAGAGTAAACTATAAAAAAAAATTAAATTTTTTAATGATTTTTGTAATAATTTACAAGGGATAATAGGATCTCAGTGGGGCAGCTGCCGCATTGCCTCCATTGTAGATCTATCATTGGGTTAAGTGTTGGATAAAAAGATTTTAAAGTGGCAGATGGCATTGATGGTTATCTAATTTTTAGGGCTCATTTGGATTTCACTCAAAAAGGATTGAGGTGCGATTTACACCACTTTTTTACTCCAATCTCATCGATATGTTGTTTGGGTAACATCGGTGGGGTGCATTTTGCTCCAGTTATCCACTAAACTTTATAGCGAAGGACTGGTCGATAATAGGGCAGTAAGGGCAGCTGCCCTCACTGAGATCCTTTGGTTATAAAATTCATTTGAAAATTTAATTGTTCTATAGCTTGCCCTGATGAAAAAGAAATTAAAGAAATAAAATATTATGACATCTTTATAAATGTTAGAAAGAATGAAAATATAATTGCAATAAAAATAAATTATTTTACAAAAATAATAAAGTCTCCTTTATAAATATAAATAAATAAAA